AGTCCCGAGTGCTCCTACCACCACTGGGATCACTTTGGCCTTTTCTTTCCAGATCCTCTCTAGTTCCTCCTTCAGGCCCAGGTACTTCTCCAGCTTCTCATACTCCTCCTTCCTGATGTTGCTGTCACTTGGCACTGCTACATCTATCACCACCACTGTCTTCTGGTCCTTGTCTACTACCACAATGTCTGGTTGACTGGCCAGTATCTGCCTGCCTGCCTGGATCTGGAAGTCCCACAGGATCTTAGCCCTGTTATTCTCCACAACCTTCTGTGGAATCTCCCATCTGGGCTTGGGAGGATCTAGACTCCAGCCCATACTCCTGTATACATATACTGTATATAAAACAAACAAACTCTGGGCAGCTAACTATGATCAACAAAAAACAATATAAAACCCCTATAAACTAAACAGTAGGATTAAAACAATAAAAATACAGTAACCGAGGCACCGAATAACAACTTCATAACACAAACTGTACCTGTATTGGGCTCATCTAACATCCTGGCCCAGCACTGGTGAAAAAGCCAGGTCTTCATGGCCTACCGGATGGCCAAGAGGGTTGGGGACCTCACTTCTTAAGGGGAGGCTGTTCTATAGGTAATGTACAGTTTGAGGCCCTTGTCCTTAAAGACAAACCCTTTAAGCATGCCACACCCAGTTAAAGTCCTACACACAAATATATCAAACTTTAGTCTGCTTTATGTGCTTTTCAGATTAAGTATTATCTTGCTCTTACTGTTGAGCAGGTTTTGATGCTATCAGCCATGCAGTGTTTCCTTATCCTTTCTGTATTTCTCTATGGTGAGAAAAGTAGTATATAGACTTTTTAGAGATGATGGTGGGAATTCAGATAAAGCAAGACTGCTGTGGTTTTCTGGATGTCAAATAATAACGGATGCTTGTCTTTGTTGAGTACACGTGTTTATACACTTTCCCTTTCACAGGATCCCCGGAACAAGCATAAGTTCAAAATCCACAGCTACAGCAGTCCCACTTTCTGTGATCACTGTGGCTCCCTCCTTTATGGACTGGTGCACCAGGGGATGAAATGCACCTGTGAGTAAGCATTGATTTTTCTCGAGTTGTGTGATCTATTACAAGAAAAAGAATTAAAATGCTGTTATCTAAACAGTAGAAGTGATTGTCACAAAAAGCTTCTTCCAACTAAGGGCTGCTGGGGCATGGAGGAAGTCCCCAGTTCTAATATTATATCCCTCCTGATTACACTAGGTAGGCTTAGGTAAACCATATGATGATTAAAACAATAAAAATACAGTAACCGAGGCACCGAATAACAACTTCATAACACAAACTGTACCTGTATTGGGCTCATCTAACATCCTGGCCCAGCACTGGCGATGATGATGATGGTTGGTCACACAGTCAGCCAGATGTTTACATAGGATTTGGTATTTTTGTTCACTAGTCCTTCCCAAGGACCTGGGATAGGCAGATGTTGTTTAATAATATTAAAGTATTAAAGGTATTGTTGCAGGATGTAAGATGATGATTACAGTACTAGTATTGTGTGTGCGTGCGGGCGTGCGCATATATATACATACGTACACACACAATACTACTACTGTAATAATATATAGGAATGACCACAGTATACATTGTTGGAATATATATATATTCATATTTATATATATGAATAACAACAATAATATATAAGAATAACAACAAGAGTATATTATTTTAAGGTGAGGGTCTGCATTCATGTCTGAATACAATAGTGGTAGTATTTTTCTAAAATGTAGCTGCTGTATATAGCACATGCTAGAAAAAATGTACGCTTTCAATAATTAGTAGTTCAGTTTTAGTTCAGTTGCTACGTTATTCATTTTTTAAAGTTAATTCAAACCCTTATTCTTACTTACTTACTTACTTATTTACTTAGCAAATGTATATAGCCGCCCATCTCACCAAAGTGATTCTGGGCAGCATACAACAATCAGATAAAAAGACAAATATAAAAACGAGAAAAAATATATTCATTCCTCTATGTTTGATACAAACTTTTTTTTTTTTAATTATTTCTTGCCTTGGGGGAAGCAGATGTCAAGAAATATCACCTTCTTCCCATTGTCCCCTTACGGCTGTGCTCAGTTTCAAGAAAATTTCAAAACTGATCTTATCAAAGAATCTGATCCAATCGATTTTATGATTCTTAGTGCACGATGCTCATTTTGTCCAGTTTGATCTTATAAAAGCTCTATGCATCTTCTCCTCTCGATATCTCATAAACAGATAGTGTTCTACAGTATAGCACATGGAAACTATGATTGCTCCAAAAACCCATCATAGAAGTAGTTCAGGGGAATGAATTAGATTTTTGTGGGAAGACAACATCAGGAAGATAGGTTGGATATGTGTTGTGAGTGAAGCAAGTTATTAAGCAAGTTATAGGACAGAACATTTATCTAGGGTTACGCTGATAGTTGAAATTCTGTCCACCCAAGTTTTTGATTACTTAGGAGAAAGGCTTGGTTTAGTTTTACAAGGAAGACTCGTAAGACAGTGGGATTGTTATATAGCAGAACTTCTGTATACCTAACCCTAGCCCTAGATTAATCTCAATCTCTCTCTCTATATATATATATATATATGCAGCAAAATGAGTTTGTACAATAGACTGTTCCACTTCAGATAGGTGAGAGATACAACTTTGGTGTGCTTCCTCAATTAAACAACATGCAGCTAGAATGTTGTTGCATCAAGGAGAAAGATTCTAGTTCTTCTCTTGTAGCAACCTAATCTGGTTATTGGAAACTTTTCTTACATGAACAGAGCTTTTGTCAGGCTTTCTTGCATATATAGCCGCCCAGAGTCCCCCGTTGTGGGGAGATGGGCGGGGACAAATTAAATAAATAAATAAATAAATAAATAATAATAATAATAATAATAATAATAATATATTAAAATGTGACCCTCCATCTACAACTTCAGTAGTAACAGTCTGTTATGAATCTTACTATCATAGGCTTTTGAATGTGTAGATGAAGATTAAGTGACTTTGAAACTGTAAGCCTTGTGGAGTTCAATGATAGTCAAATAACCATTAGCTGGATAGATGACAATATGTATATCTGGCATACAAAGAAAGTCTGATGCAATTTTGTACACTTCATTATAGCAAGGCAGCTCCATCAATTCTGGGTGTATAGAAGTAGGTTCGTCTGAAATTTGCACCCCCGGCCATGTAGAAGCATCCTGAATCCATAAATTCAAAAGGGCAAATTTTCCATAACCCAAAAATACTGTAGTCAGTGTCAGTTTAATAGGAATCTGAGAGATATTACAGAACCCATTGCGCTAAGTGTGGGTACCTGGTACCTGAATGAATGTATATTAAAGAGCAGTAGTTGGTTTCTTTAATGGGAGATGTGGCCAATATTGTGAATTTGCTTTCTTCCAAAGATTTAATGTGGATCACTGCAATCAGTGATAGAACAGATGGTACACAGTCCTCAACTAATTTGCTGAATCTGACCTATGCTTTTTCTGAGATAGGCTTGCAAACACAGCCAAATGGCTTCTCCGTTTCAAGAGTAATATCAGAAAGATGTTTGCTTGTAGTGAAGAAGACTGTTATCTCATTAGGAGCATCTAAGTTAATTAATGGTATGGATTTGTAGTGATTAATCCTTTTAATCAATAAAGTACCTATTTATTGTTAGATGATGCAGCCACAAGCTACAAGCTGGCACTCTCCTAAAAGGGACTCTCTTCTGTATAAGTGAACTAAAAAAAAAAGTTTTTTATTTTAAAAAATGGTACCTTTTATCCAGTGTATTTGTAACTTTCTGTAGTAAAATAATTAACTTGTAGAAAAAAATTGTGGTTTCACTAATTGAAGGGATATTTTAAAATCAGAAGTAGGGATGTGTATGAAGCAGAAATGTGCTTTCTTTTGAACTTGGAACAAACAGACCCACCTGAAAGATTCTAAATTGACTTGAATGTTTGATTCGAACCTGTCAGTCCTTTGAGGTAGGCCAGGTCAAGAAACACAGAAATTCCAGTAATGCTACTTTATTATAGTAGAGTATATTAACAGAATCTTGAAACCCTATCCCAGTGTTTCTCAACCTCAAGAACTTGAAGATGTGTGGACTTTCCAAGATGCTGGCTGGGGAATTCTGGGAATTGAAGTCCATACATCTTAAAGTTGTTGAGGTTGAGAAACACTGCCCTATCCACGTTTCTCTGTCATTTCTTATACTAATAAAATCAAAGCAGAGTTTTATGAGGTTCTTTCTCATGCTTGCTTCAACCTCTGGACAATGTAAATGCTTCTCCAGGTCCCTCCTGGATGGTTCTTTCATACCGTTCATACAATTCCTTTACACAACCCTGGAACAAACTCTCAGAACACACATATTTTATATCAGGCTTACGGCATTCAGAAGGTTGAAATGGCTTGCTCTGAGGTTGCTTCCTGTGACCAGAACTCTTGGAATGACACTGCTTGAAATAGGTAAATTTTGTTCTGACCTCAAGACAAAACTCTTGGAGATGCCCAGCTCAGAACCCTCAAACCAACTAATGTTTTGAGGTTGAAAATCACAAGATTTATTTATTTATTTATATTTATGAAAATCTTTTAATACAGCCAATAAATTGACTCCATGTCAGAGATCCTAGTTAGGAAATGTGCTGTTCTTTATGCTCATTTGCTCTCAGCTGATTTGCCAATCTTTGTTGCCCCCTGCAGGCTGTGAGATGAATGTGCACAAACGCTGTGTCCACTGTGTGCCCAGCTTGTGTGGCGTTGACCATACAGAACGCCGTGGACGCCTCCAACTTCACATTGAGACGTTTGGGAGTGATGAGATCCGGGTGACTGGTAAGGGAAGGGTGGCAGTGAGGTGTGATGGAATAGGAATGGAGCCACTTGCTTACACTGCATTTACTCATTTATTAATGTCTTATTAAATGTCCTCAACATTTCAGTGTTGAAGCTTATAGTATGACCAGATATAGGGCCTTTTAGAGGTAGTCTTCCAAATACAAAGTTTGGTTCACTCTTCTGTTTTTTAGATGGCAGATTACAATGGTTCAATTTACCCAGGCCTTTGATGAGCTAAAAGAATTCTTACATTCCTTTAATGCTGCTATTAACTGCCTCTTATAATTAAAAGCCAAGTAGAAAGTGATAGGATATGAGGACTAGAAACTTTACAAAAAGAAAGCAAGCTGAGAAAACTGGGACTCTTCATTCTTCACTTAAGGAGTTAGCAGCTTTTGAAAGCAGGTACAAATAAGGAAGCCCTCAGGGCCAAGCTCACTTGAAAAGGTGGAAGAGTGGAAGTGGGAATGCAGAAGTGTTTCCCCCACAAAATTTCTCTTTTCTAAGTAGCAACCCTTTGCAAATTTGGAATGTGTACTCAGGAGGGCACTTTTGCTGATGGCAGTCCTTGGGAAAAACATCAGGGCCTTGCTAAAATATCCAGGGCAAACAAGTTGTTTTTGGGCAATAGTTTCCATTGTCTTCCCATCTTTGGATATTCAGAGATAAATTGCTTCTGAACTTGCAGCTTCTGCATGACTATCACTCGCCGTTATTAGCCCTATCCTTGTCTCAAGATAAGATCACTGGCTTTATTAACATCCCATGCTTGTGAGTATAATATCTGAAAGGAATTTGATAGATACTTTGAAAAGTCTACCTGGGGGGACAGAGGTTTTGGGGGTTGATGAAATTGACCAGATAGACACAACTGTTTTGGGGAGGGAGCACTAAGAACTTCAAATACCTTCTACTTGGTGTTTTACTTAAAAACTACTCTTGATTCTTTAATGCCACAAATTAAAAGGCCTGATTTTAAAACATGTTCAGCCAGTGCATGCTTTAGTCCATGAGGTGGACTAACTAGTCCTCATTACAAACAGTTCTATGATAACTCTGACAAAATTTCAGAATATAGGCAAGAAAATGAGTTATAGTAGACATCTACTAATTTGCTTTTTCCCTCTACTTGTTTCAGAGAGGGGCAAAAGGACTTATACAAATGCAGGCATATTTGCTCACTTTGCATATTTAATATAATGCTTTCACGATTCATATAGGATCCAAGATTCAGTTTTATTTGGTTCTGGTATTAGACCTAAAATCCTTGTGCACGTGGATATGCAAATACGCATATTCATTCTGCAATTCCTTCTTTTTTTCTCCTCAAAGGATTCAGTTTAGTCATGGTGAGCTAAAGCTGGACTGGAAAGCCACAAAACTTCCCCTTTTCATTCCAAGAGTGATTAACTTATTAAAAGTAGAGGCAACCGAGATGATGGGATTGGAGCTTTGAAGACCGACTTGGGCTCTTCAGAATAGAGGAAGGTCTTGCAGCATTGACAGCAAGACAATTGCAGCTTTGATCTGTCTGGGTGAAGAATGGGTCTGATTGTGTTTGTGGAGGCTGGGAGCCCGGCTTCTATTCCTAGCTGCAGAACTTGACATCCCCCGCCTCTGCTTTTCACACCTTCCCCTGCACACTTTCTCACTGTCTTTCTCCCGCATTCTGGAACACCAGCATGTAGGTGGTGAGAAGAAAGCCATTGCTGCATTTTTCTTGACAGAAGGGGATTTCCTCACCCACCCTACAATCTCGTTCACCCCCATACACACACACGCAGGCACACACAAGTTGCTGCCGCAGCAACTTTCATGGCCCACAGCAGGTGGCCTGGGACAGATGCCACGAGTTCCTCCTCCCTCGGCCCACCAGCAAACACAGGAGGTCTGCCTCCCCGCCCACTCACTCTTCCCTCTGGTACTTACTCAGTTGGAAGTTAATACTCTTTTAGAAGCCAATATCACTGTTTCTGTTTCTCTCCCTCCCACCCTCCCTCCTTTTCGTGTCAGTTGGAGAAGCACTGAACTTGATCCCAATGGATCCCAACGGTCTGTCTGATCCTTATGTGAAACTCAAGCTGATTCCTGACCCAAAGAATCTAACAAAGCAAAAGACCAGAACAGTCAGATCCACTCTCAATCCTATTTGGAATGAAACCTTCGTTTTGTAAGTACAGGGAGGAGAGGCCTCGGGGATCTACCCACTTGTTTATTTCAGGTTTTTTGACCTCCCTCTTTCCCTTTGTACCCCATCAGCACCCTGCAGCCAGGTGACATGGACCGGCGCCTCTCCATCGAGGTTTGGGACTGGGACCGGACAACCCGCAATGACTTCATGGGCGCCATGTCCTTTGGAGTCTCTGAGCTGTTCAAGGGTCCCGTGGAAGGCTGGTAAGGGGAAATCTGTGGGGTAGGAAAAAAAAATGGAAGAGAACGATGGAGCAACCCAGGGGCCACCCAGTGCTCATTTTCTCTCTCTTTCTTCGTCTTGGCGTCTTTTTGGATTTTATCTGTTTGCTTGGTTGGCACCATCCTCTTTCTCTCACTCTCCTCTCTTTTAATCTAACCCATAAAATTTCTCCCATTTTTTGCTTCCATCCATTCATTCCGTTCTCCTCTCCCCGTTTCCTTCCATTTTCTTCCCCATCATCCCTCTTGCTCAATCACTCCCTCCTCTTGTTCACTTCCACCCTGCCCAATGTCCCTGTCTGCGTTGCTGTCCCAGGTACAAATTGCTCAATCAGGAGGAGGGCGAATATTATAGTGTCCCTGTGGCTGATGCAGAAAACTGTGGGCTGCTGCAGAAATTTGAGGTAATCATGTGGCTCCATGACAATGCTTGGATTGGCACCCCATACTTGCCCCACACTGAGTTCTTCCACACAGATGGGGTGTGGTGGGGAACCAGTGAGGGCTCTTCCAGTCAGCAGATTAAGATTGGAAGCCACACACAAGCTTCTGGCTCTGGGATGGAGGGACCTGAAAAAGAATCCAGTAGAGCTACTTGCAATGTTCTGTCCTGCGTTCTTCCTATTTCACTGTGATCCCATAAATGTTACCCTTTAAAGGCAGTTCTGGCTGGGTGTGGTAGCACTCACTGTGTCACATCTAGCCTAATCACGAAACACGTACTTCTATAAGATCATCTCTAATGTGAGGCAAAATGAAAGGTGGTCTAGAGAGGGTCTTGGCAGCTGCTTGGTCTCTAGCTGTTTTTCTGTTGAGGACAGGGCTGTGTGTTTTAGCCTGACCTGTGCCTCTCTCTAGGCCTGCTGAGATAAAATTCACTGCCCGGCCATTAGCACTGAAATAAATCTCAACTATCTTCTCTGGGTGGAATGACAGAGAGAAACATCTCGTCCTTTGCCTTAGGCAACTAAATGTCTTGAAGTGGCACTATAAATGGTTGGTGGGTGGTCCGGCTTAAGAACTGGCAGAGATTGGATTTTTAATGAGGAAGCAGGACAGAATAGAGGTCATCCAGGCAGCTACTTACATACTGATGCTTTGTTTTCCAGGCTTGCAACTTCCCTCTGGAACTCTATGAGGTATAAATTTTTCTTCTGTTTCTTCTAGTTTGAGATGGGCTGAAGGAAGCTTCCTTTTGCTGCCATAAAAACATCCACCAGAGCTCACTGTAATGGCTTAGAGAAGGAGGGAAGTGCAGAACACAGGAGCGGAGAAAGAGCCCAGCTGATCAGCCAAATATCCCTTGAGTCCAGCAGTGTTCATCCAGTCCTTTAGTTCTCAGGACCAACCCTGTTGTTCCTTGACTGCTTGCACTGGAATTGCCCATCCTTGATCCCTTCTAGCAGCCAGTGATACATTGCATCTGAACCTGGAAATTTGTCCTTAGCTAATGTGCTTAACAGTCACAGATACTTCTCTTCTTGGGAGCATTGTAGGTTGAAACTCACTGCTTAATTCTGGAGAAAAACTATTTCCTTAGGTTTGTCCAGAAGCTGGAAGAAGCAAAGGGGAGGTTGTAAATACTTCTGAAGGAAAAGTATAAGAAAAGGAAAGATAATATCTGGGACCACTGAGATGAATCTAACTATTTGTGGCCTTCCCAGAAAGCAGTACCTTGAGTATAGGGTCTTCTAAACTGGAGATTACTGGGTGTTACAACTGGGACTTTCTGCATAAAACACCTGGGTCTGGAGTCATGGCAACTTTCTCATTTCACTGTGAATCTGCCCTGTCTCTGTAAAGACTGTCCACAGTTCCCCTTGGGAAGAAAGTTTATTTGCAGCTGCACATGTATCAAAAGCACTTCATTGCTCATTCTCAAAACACTCCCGAATATCTGGGAATTTTACTGTGTGTACTAAGTGTACCTTGTACCCGCTTCTGTTTCAAAGATATTAAAAAGCAGGTGAACATCCAAGGCACCCTGTTCAAAATGGCAGATATTGCAGAAGTTGTGACTCTAGTGGTGATGCCCTTAATTCTGAGTCTGCAGAATGTTCATGTCCATGTTTCCACATTGTGCTCTGCAGAAGGTTCGCCATGGTCCCATCCCGTCTCCATCTCCAAGCCCCACAGACCCCAAGCGTGGTGGATTCTTTGGCACCAATCGCTTCCACATCTCGGACTTCAACTTTCTCATGGTTCTGGGCAAAGGAAGCTTTGGCAAGGTGGGCGTTCCAGTAGGCAGTGGGTCAGAGGTGCACAGAGGGGGATGTGGAGGGGTGCAAGTGCTGGCACTGCCCAGGTTGTGGGCTTTTGGAAGGGCAGAGCAGCCTGGGCTCCTGAGTTCCCTTTAGATAGATGGGAACAAGACCCAAGGCTCTGGGGTTCTTTCCCCACAGGTGATGCTGGCAGAGCGCCGTGGAACAGATGAGCTGTATGCCATCAAGATCCTAAAGAAAGATGTGATAATCCAGGATGATGATGTAGAATGTACTATGGTGGAAAAGCGGGTCTTAGCCATGGGGGAACGTCCACATTTCCTAACTCAGCTACACTCTACCTTTCAAACAGCGGTAATTCTTGTGATTGTCTTCCAGAGTGATCATTTCAATAAACAAATGTTAGCCCTTTAATTAAATAGACTCCTTAATTGGATTAAATAATGTTTTGCATCCACATAAATTTGAACACAAGAGAAATCAATAGTTCTGCACTGAACAAATACTATATTTCCTTGAGGTTTTTTAAAATTATGCCTGTGTATGTCCAGTTGAGCAGTATCTTAAAAAAAAATGCAATCAGAGAAAGAAAAGCTGCATTTGAGATGACACCAACATATTTTTTTATAATAAATCTGTTCAAAATAATATGAACAATTAAAAAAACCCTACTTCCTAGTTAATGAGGGCATATTTATATAATCAAAATATGTTTTATTTGATGAAATGGTGCTAGAGGTTTCAGTCCCATTACATACAAGGATGGTTAGAGAAATGAGAAAAAGAGGTATTCTGTACTATTTAGGGAATACTTTAATTAAAGAATTATTTAATTTGTTCATCTGGGGACATATTCTCTTCTTTTCCTTTAAGGACCGGCTGTATTTTGTTATGGAGTATGTCAATGGAGGAGACCTAATGTATCACATCCAACAGGTTGGGAAATTCAAGGAACCCCATGCTATGTACGTGAGTCTCTTGGGGAACTTGACTGGGAATGCCTCATTCTTTATACCTCTATGTCAACAATCATGCAACCCAAAGTAAAATTAATCGGAAATTAATTAAATTAATTAAATAATGTTTTCTTGTCTATGCAGATTTTAAAACCGTGATCAACTCCAGAGGGTGGTAAGGCTGGGCATTTGCTTATTTGGTCTAATGTCCTAGTCAAGTCCATCCATGCACCATCACCAAATAGCATCATCGTTCTCTTTTACAAAAATTAGAAAGAGGAGAAATGTATTTCCCATTTCTTAAACTAGAGAACTCACTGAAGGTGTTTAGCGCAGGAACTCCAGTATGCTGCTTAAAAGGCATTCATGGTTCAGGGAGTTAAAATTTCTTTAAATAATTAAATGTATGTGATTGGGGGCCCAGCAGGTTTGATCAGGAATATGACCATCTGCTGATCTAAATCCTGTTTCTACTCTGTTGCTGTTCATTCTGTGAGTAAGAACTTACAGGTATCTATCTATGTTTTTTTTCCTCTGCAGAAATACTAGTATTCCTTCTTCCCTCTCGGTGACTTTTAGTGAAAAGAAAAAGAAAAGTTTCTTCTGAAACTTTTGGTTTGGTTTTGAGAATCATAGGTAAAGATTCATCCCAGCATCCAGGTCAGAAAGATGGCAGAGAACTGATCTGCATATACAGCAGAATTAGGTGGGAAAGAAATAATTTATGGAGTTGTGAAGCCATATGATTGCATGATTTCAGACTGGAGGTGGAGCATCTCTTTTGTAAAAGAAAAAAAAAGACAAAAAGAGAACATTCTTTGCAGCTAATGCAGTAGGAGCAAACCTGCTCTTTGCCATGATGCACTTTTCTTGTAAGACATTTGATGAGAGGGAACATAAAAAGTCTAATTCCAACAAGGTAATCCATAGTGGTCCTGTCCGCTCTACCACCTGAGGATTCTAAAGGTTTAGTTTGCTACACCTGTTTTACACCAGGGCTTGGCTTCATAGAAGTATTACATTCCACAGATGTTGTTTAATTGAGAGAAATCAACAAGCTGGTTGTCGTAAAACGAGACAAAAATATTGCTGTGGTTTGTAAAATACCTTTTCTGTGGATTGATAAGTGCTATTTAGAAGAACAGTGAGAAATCAGACAGTTTGTGTCACATTGTAAGGAACATGAAAAGTTCTTCACACTCTTGCAAGTTGAAAATGATGAGAGTGGATGCAATGTAAGCATAACAATGCAGGAGGTACCTGAGAGAGAAATCCTATTGTCTAAAAATCAGAATCTTACCATTTTTGGTCAGAAGTGAGCGTTGATTCTCCTGCATATATCCCCAGGACCACTTCTTAATCCTTGCTATCTTCTGAAATGGAGTACATCTGTGCATTTATGGAGTATTTATCCACTCAACCTCCAAAAAACTCATGGTTAGGATCCTGCAAGATAGGTTAGGCTAAGAGATGGTCTGGCTCAAGGACATCCAGTTAACTTACTGGCTGAGCAAAAGTCTGCCATATCACTGCTGCACACTGCATGCATTTCACTGAATATCTATCCTCCTATCTTTCTTTCCTATCTCTTCCTTCAGATGCAGGGCTGGGCAAACTGAAGCCCTTGCTTTAATTCCTTACCCTAATTTCAAAAGAGAGCCAGTTTAGTGTAGTGGTTAAGGCATTAGGCTAGAAACCGGGAGACTGTGAGTTCTGGTCCTGCCTTAGGCACAAAGCCAGCTGAGTGACCTTGGGCTAGTCGCTCTTTCTCTACCCTAGGAAGGAGGCAAGGGCAAACCACTTTTGAAAAATCTTGCCAAGAAAACTGCAGGGACTAGTCCAGGCAGTCACTAGAAGTCTAAAACTGACTTGAAGGCACCCATAAATAAATAAATAAATAAATAGAAAATCCTCAGCAAGTGATTAGTACAGGCCTCTGGTAGAAAGAAGGAGGCATCTTCTCTTGCTCTGCCCCCTGGCAGATGACTTTCCACATGGCAGGGCAGCCAGGGCCTGACCTTCATCACAGGGTTAAAAAAAGCTGCTCTGGAAAAGCTGCTCTGAATATCCCAACACAGGCTGCTTTGATTTAGGTGTAGGCTTGGCAATAGCTGCCCAGTATAGTATGAAAAGTGCCCATCCAAGCTGCCATCAACACACTCTGAGGATGCTAGCAATGAGCTATTTGCCATCATCTTTCTAATCCCCAACTCTTCCTCTATTCTGTTACAGGTTTTATGCAGCTGAAATTGCGATTGGCCTGTTCTTTTTGCACAACAAGGGAATTATTTACAGGTGAGCCTCTGTTTGCTATCCATTCTCCATGCCCACCTAGGCCAGAGTAGGAGATGGAAGAATCCTGATCACAGCCCTTCATGCCTAACTACAAAATCCCAATGTTGTTCTACGAATTGAGAGGATATGGTTTCACTCCTTCCCTTCCCTCCCATGAACTCTCCAGCTCTATTTTCTACCAGTGTCAACATCTGAATAACTAGAGATTCTGGAGTCATTATAATTGGCACCATCCGTGGGACAGATCGTGATCCAATTCCTGATATTGTTGTCCTCAGGGATTTGAAACTGGATAACGTCATGTTGGATGCTGATGGCCACATTAAGATCACAGATTTTGGGATGTGTAAAGAAAACATTTTCCCCGGCATCACCACCCGAACCTTTTGCGGAACACCTGACTACATTGCTCCAGAGGTACAGATCTCCAAAATCCTTCCACTGGCCATAGTACTTAAAAACGTAAAAGTGGCCAGGTTCCATCTGGTCTCATTTGCTGCTTCCAGTTTGTTTCTGGGCAGGATGTAAGATGAGGCTAGCTGGGCTTCAAGACATTCCTCATTTTTATTAGGTCTGCAGGACAGTTTTACCTTTAGGTTAGGATTCTTGGTCAAGTCTTCTCTGCAATTCCTATGTTTAGGGATGATCTCTCTACTGAGAGCAGGGACTCACGTCTTAAATTCCTTTCTTTGGTCAAGAAAGGAGTTGTCTGATGGTTTTAGCTGGCTGGATAGTTTAATTGCTTTTAATTGGGTTTTTTTTTACTGTTTTTTAAAAGTTTAATAGTTTTTTATTGTTTTATTTACTATTGGATTTTTTAATAAATCATTTCTCTACAGAGACCAGGGGACTAACATCTTAAATTCCTTTCTGTGGTCAGACTTTTAGGTCATAAGTTTAATCGTCTAGTGGTTTTAGCTGGTTGGACAGTTTTAATTGCTTTTATTCGTTTTTTATTCGTTTTTAAATATGCAGTTGTTTTGTATTGTTTTATTTACTATTGCATTGTTTTACAAAATACTTCGGTCCTAGAGATAAGATGTTAAGTGGTGTCCAAATGTAATTAATAAAACAATAAATAACCTGGATCCCTTTTCGGATCCTATATAAAGATGATGCCTGCTGCTCTCTAACAATTTCAGAAATTGGGTTTCAAATTCCTACATCGTATGCTTACATACAAATTAAATAAGCCCATTATAGCCAGTGTATTTTTGCATCTGAGATCCAGTTTTTTCAATTAAACGTGTGTATGTGAATTCAGGGATGAACCTTGCTTCATCCCCTCTTAGGCACTGTGTTCTCACTAGGCCAGTTCACTTTTAAGTTCTGAAATGCTCCATCATGTCTAGTTTGGCTCTCAGAATATTTTGGATGGAATGGGATGTTGACTGAATGAATACTTTGTCATTTTATCACATTCCATTCTTAGTTGATCCAAAAATTCAGGATCTTAGCTGTGTTATAACCGTGGTTTCTACGTTGGATCACAGTAATGCTCTTTACTTGAAACCACCCTTGAAAAGTGAAATGCAATGTCAGGAATACAATAGCAGGCTTTTAACAGGTCAAACTTCATGGAATGTATCTGTCCCATTTTAAAACCGCTGGTTTTATTTATCAGTTCAAAATGCGACTATCAGTTCCTAAATGTTCTACAATCTAAGTATTTCATGAATCACCTTTTTTTGTAACCAATGCACATTTTATTCATCAATGGAAACTTTGCTTCAAAATTTCCACTGGAAGTAGGTAGTCTCCAGGTTGAGGACGCCCTGTTTACAGATGACCCATAGTTAAG